AGATGCTTAATTACCACAAAAAGTTCCCAAGCAAAAAACTTGCCCAACACCGAGAAAATGGGTGATCAGTGATTATCCTCTATTAAATTGTATTACAGCAAGAAAATGTGAAATTTTGTATTCAATTACAACAAAAATGACTTGCATTATCAGAAAGCTTACAAAAACCTACATATAAGACATTTAAACAGTTTTTTTTTATATCTAAAATTGTTTTCGAGTTATACGCTGTCAAAAACGCGTTTTTGACCTAGTACCCAGTCCTTATTGCGAGTTTTTGGTCCAATTTTCACATTTAAAACAGCAATAACTCAAAGACTATTTGAAAAATCAAAAAACTGTTTAAAAGTCTTATATGCGGTTTTTTGTACGTTTTCCGATGATGAAAGTCATTTTTATTGTAATTGAATACAGAATTTCCCATTTTTTTGCCGTAATACAATTTAATAGAGGATAATCATTGATCACCCATTTTCTCAGGATTGGACAACTTTTTTGCTTGGGAACTTTTTTTGGTAGCGATGTACCTATATGCCTTTCAAATAAACCCCAAACCAAGTATTCCCACATGGGTGCCACGAAGCGAAATAATTTTGGCCAACAGCCCTATTTGCTTATATATTTTATAAGAAAACAAATCAGTCTTGTCTTGAATAGAATATCAACGAGAACCAAGGACTGTTTTAAGTCAGCAATTATTCTTGTCTAGAATATAGCAAGACGTTTTGCCTGTTTAAAGTATATAAGTATTCTTGGTAAGAATATGAGCAAGAACTTTTGCTTTTAAGAAAACAATTATTCTTGGTTAGAAAAATTTTACTTATTTTAAGTAAAATCAATTCTTGATAAGAATATTTTCTCTCGTTTTTCTTATTTTAAGCAAAATATTGCTTTGAAAACAAGAATTTTGCAAGAATTTTTTCTAGGTAAGAATTCTCAATTTTGGTGTGCATTAATGTCCAAATCAAGTTGACTTTTCTTACCAAAAAGATCAATATAGACTTCGTGCAAAGTGTGGGCACTGCAAAACTATAAAATAATAAAAAAAAAATGCTATATCGTCCATACTTAGAATAATCAGGAAATTGTACAATTCAATGTCACGTATATTTGCGATGTGTTCAGAACCTAAAATCTTTTTGGCGTTCCTCTCAAAATTACTTTGTTTTAGCTTTATTTTGTAGTTTACACAGTTATAGTAATCCTTTTAAATATATCTGGCGGTCGAGAAACACAAAATAATAGTTAAATATTGTTAAACAAAAAAATAAAAATAAATAAATTTCAATACAATTATCATTGATGCTGTAAAATTGACGCCATATTTCTACAGCAATATAAGCAAAACTTACTGAACTTCAGACATCATTTTCTGTTTGGCGTACCATCTAAAATCTCTTCATTTTAGCATAATTTTACAGATAAAGCACTAAACATACTTTTTAAGTTTGTTTGCCGCTTGAGAAACATATCAAAAATTTAAAAATTTGAATATAGTCATAACAAAATGGAAAACTATATTCATTATTTTTGAGCGCGTGTTACGTAACATACAAAAGATTCTCTCAAAAAATACCTGATTTAGTTCGTGGTGAATTTTATTGAATATCAATGTCTTGTCATAATCGGCCGTGAAATTTCTCACAATGTTATGAACTAAAAATTAAAGAAATTACAAAAATTATGCCATGGTTCAAAAAACCGATCTCCAACAATTTAATTCTGAGCAACTTGCAAAGTTGGCCTTGCAATTTCCATCTCTGATATTCCAAATTTGTAATTGGGAATATTGACAGGAAACTTGCTGGTCTTAAAATACCGTGAAATTGTCCGACGTAGAGAAGAAACAACTGGACATTCTGTCCGACCTAAGTGAAACTGAGGTTTATTGTTTATCCGACCCAAGTGAATTGGTGTCCGACCTAACTGTAAAGCCCTGGGCAAACTAGGAAACATTGTTGCGGAAACATTGTTGCGGAAACATTGTTTCCTACCAATGTTTCGCGATGTTTCCCAGAGTGGGCAAACACTAGGAAACATTAGTGAGAAACTTCGGGAAACATCAAATGTTTCTGAATTCGCTAGGAAACATTTTTGCTTCCTGGGAAGCAAATTTTGTTTCCGCAACAATGTTTCCATGGGTGGGCAAACAGAGAAACATTTGAGGAAACATCGAGAATCACAAATGTTTCCACAACAATGTTTCCTAGTTTGCCCAGGGCTTAACTTTGTCCAACGTCAATCAAAATGTACCCTAGTCCAGGACTAGAGGCTCGTGTGTTTAATGGAGAATCAGAGTAATGTATAAAAAGTGAACTGGAAATGTGTAATCAAGTGCGGGGTTTTCACCGTGGGGTTCCGAAATTCATTGCCAAGATTCAAATGACTTTTCCAAATTGTGCTGATGTTAATTCGTGTCTGCATTCATACTTATTTCCAAGCCAACCTGAACTCAAAGTAATCGGACATCACAATACATATGTCCGCCCCAAACTCATAATCATCGAACATTTTGTCAAGGCGGTTCTCTGACCGATATTTTACGGCCTGAACTTGAGAATCACGCTTTGAAAAGTGTCCTGCAGATCTGCAATGGGCAATTTCAGCTATAGACTAAATTTTGATCTCGGCAAGAAGAACAAAATCCATCACCAGAGCTAGAAAGAGCATGTTAAAATTAGTAAAATTGCAAAGTTTGGTTTGGAAATGTTGTAAAATGCGGAAAATATAGCCCTACGAAATTCGAAAATTTTGTATTAATTTGTATTACGCGCGGGAAAATGCATCACATTTGGGCCGAAAGTGATGCATTTTCCCGCGAGTAATACAAATTAATACAAAATTTGAAAATTTCGCAGGGCTATATTTTCCGTATTTTACAACATTTCGAGGCGAAACTTTGCACTTGTACTAATTTTAACATGCTCTTTCTAGCTGTGGCGATGGATTTTGTTCTTCTTGCCGAGATCAGAACTTGGTCTATAGCTGCTCGAATCATCTATGGACAATCACAAAACAAACCTTCCGAACTGCTAAGAATATTGACCACTTCTATTCGATCAAAATGTATAACGACACCACCACTGGTTCCGCACGGTACATTCTTGACTTCGTCTGTCTGCATGGTGATTTGGACGCTGCGATACGACGTCAAAAATGGCACCATAGTATGAAATCCAGGACCACTAATTGAGGACAGTAAAGCACCACCCTGACGAAGAGAATTGTCAGAGAATCAACGACGTAAAAAACAAATTGTCAGCGCTGTTGTCAAGACCAATGGTCCCAGAAAATGTTTTGATGAAGTTAATATTGAACGAGTGAAATCTGCCCGTATCCTTGGCCTCACAGTTCAAGATAACATGAAGTGGAATGAACATATAAACAACATAGTTAAAAAAGCTAGCAAGAGGCTCTATATGCTAAGGCTGCTAAAAAGGTCCAACGCGTGTATTGACACGTTGATTACCGAGGTGTGGATTATAACGGTCGGCAATCGGCTATTTGCCGAACAAAAACACCAAATGGCCGATCAATTTCATTCTGCACGGACATTTTGTCCGATCAAATAAAATACACCACACTGTTCATTTAAATTGAAGGTAGTTTATGTGAAAAGTACTGTTTGAAAAGCATCTAACTATGCCTACGATACCATGCAATCAATAAATATTTGGATGAAAAAATCACTCAGAGGAAACATTGTCATTGAGCTTCTCTTTTAGCAAATACTCTCTCAAGTGACTGAATCTCGATAGTTACAGTCCATAGCCGGCGGCGTTTACAATACTTACTACTTACAAAAATATGTTTCATTTCTATAAGCCGTAGGCCTAGCTATATATTAGTAAATACCTTTATTTCCTAAAGAAACACAAACAAAGTGAAGGCGCGGAGGACGTTGCTAGTTGGCGTACGCCAAGCTTTTTTCTGCATGCAAACGTGCAATCAATAATGGTACGTCGATCTGTAGCACTGTCACGTAAAAATGGTTGAAATAGTTGGCTGACCATTCTTGGCCAATGTCCGAGCAACAGTCTCGTTAA